GTAAGAAACTTTTTTATAATTTAATTAAATCTTCAATTACATGTTTATCGTGTATAAAATTATAACTAAGATATTAAAATATATAACGGTAACATAAAATAGCTTCTATAGTTATGAACATTAAAATATTAAAAGTATAAAAATAAGTAAAAAAATTCAGCATTACTTGATATGTTACCGCGATAAAAGTTTGAGAAAGCTATACAAAATCTTGGTAAACTTTTATTTGAAAAAGTCGAACGGTTAATTTTTTCGCATATACTGAAAATTTCACTGAATAATAAAAATGTTCACTTAAGCATCACTTAATACAAGATTACCAAAAAATTAAATAAAAAAAAATCATTGTTCCAAGATATAATAAAAAGTGAGGATTTTAATGATTTCAATATAAAACCAACTTTTCAAAGATTATTGAGAAAATAAATAAAAAATTTCTTATATTTTTACTTGTATATTTCTGTGTAAATATTATTTTATTAACTAAATATTTAATTATTTATATAATTTTAAATGTATTAAATCTGATAAAAAATAATTTTTTTTGAAATTATAATTTTGGAAGGTGCATGAGCTTACCCTAATCCATAGGGCTTTTGGTCCTTATGGACCTTTACTATTGTGGATCATTTGACCCTAACTTACAAGGACTAAAACTTAATGGATCGAGCTAACCCAATATATATATATATATATATATATATATATATATATATATATATATATATATATATATAGATAGAGAGAGAGAAAAAAGTGTTTGTCCTTTTAAATGACACAACTTATATCCTTTCACTCTCACAAAGAGGTGAGACTCACATCTTTATATTTTTTTGTTCACTCTCTCCTCCTTTATCTATCTCTTTCTCTCACTTAAAATGACACAACTTTACATCCTTTAAAATGATACACACTTTTCTCACACACACACACATAAAAGATAGGATCCTTTGACATCGATGTTAAATTTAAAGTTTGTCACCTCATCTGAGAGCCGTTAGATAAAAAAATCAATGGTGTCACATGCTTACAAATCAGAGTCATTGATCTTTTTTGATCTAATGGCTCACATATGAGGTGTCAAACTTTAAATTTGACACCACTGTCAAAGGATACTACCTCGTATATATATATATATATATATATATATATATATATATATATATATATATATATATATATATATATGGTCAGGATCATTTTACACCAGTGTAAGTTACACTCTCAATCTTGTCCGTTGATTCTACTTATATCTAAGGGCTCAAATTTTTTAGTAATGTGAGTCATTGGATACAAGTGGGTCAATGGTCAAGATTGAGTATAAGACTTCTAACTCTTACACCGGTGTAAGAATATCTTATCCCATATATATATATATAAATATATATATATATAGGGTTTACATTTCTGCAGCTGCTGTACGTGCAACAATCAAATACTTGCCATATATATACTTGAAAGCATTAAATGCGGGGAATCATAACCATAAGAAGGATTAAAACATTAAATGTGGGGAATCATAACCATATACCTGTCGTTATTGTACGTAAAGTGGTTGCAGAAATAATTTTACCTATATATATATAGAGAGAGGTAGCTTTGACACCAGTGTCAAATTTAAAATTTGACACCTCATCTGAGAGCCGTTAAATCAAAAAAGACCAATGGTGTCACATGCTTACAAATCAGAGTCGTTGATCTTTATTGATCTAATGGCTCTCAGATGAGGAGTCAAATTTCAAATTTGACACTGGTGTCAAAGAATCCTACCTCATATATATATATATATATATAGGGTTTATTTTTTCTCAAGTTACTTGAGATAACTTTATCTATCGCTACTAAATAACAACCATACAAAGATGGATCAACGGTGATAATGAAAGAGAGAGAAAAATGGAATCATAACTATTCATAGGAGAATCAATTAATATAAGGAAATAAATAAAGAAAACAACGTAATTTTGAGATAGGCGGAGATAATATATATATATATATATATATATATATATATATATATATATATATATATATATGGGGTAAACATTTCTGCAGCAACTTTAAATAAGCTTATCTACAGCTACCCTTTATAACTATGTTCTCCTGGGAGAACATAGTTATAACATTAAAAATTGCTTTTTTCTCTCTCTTCATTTACTTTTCAGAACCTGTCTGCCGACGTGGAGAGAGAAAAAAAAGCAACTTTAATGTTATAACTATGTTCTCCCGGGAGAACATAGTTATAAATAGATAGCTGTATATAAGCTTATCTAAAGTGGCTGCAGAAATATTTTTTCTATATATATATATATATATATATATATATATATATATATATATATATATATAGGGGCAGGATATTCTTACACCGGTGTAAGAGTTAGAAGTCTTACACTCAATCTTGACCATTGATCCACTTGTATCCAATGACTCACATTACTAAAAAATTAGAGCCCTTAGACATAAATGGGATCAATGGACAAGAATGAGAGTGTAACTTACACTGGTGTAAAATGATCCTGACCCATATATATATATATATATATATATATATATATATATATATATATATATGAGGCAGGATCCTTTGACACCGGTGTCAAATTTCAAATTTGACACCTCATTTGAGAGCCGTTAGATCAAAAAAGATCAACGGAGTCACATGCTTGCAAATCAGATTCGTTGATCTTTTTTGATCTAACGGCTCTCAGATGAGGTGTCAAATTTCAAATTTGACACTGGTGTCACATGCTTGCAAATCAGAGTCGTTGATCTTTTTTGATCTAATGGCTCTCAGATGAGGTGTCAAATTTCAAATTTGACACTGTTGTCAAAGAATCTTATCTTATATATATATATATATATATATATATATATATATATATATATATATATATAGGGTTTGTTTTTTTTAAAGTTACTTTAGATAACTTTCTCTAATGTTTATCGAAACGACGTCGTTTGGGGTGGAAATCATGGTGTTTTTGCAATTTTAATTCGTTTAAGGGTTATAATAGTTTTATCATTCTAATTTTTTTATTTTTCAACTCATAAACGACGTCGTTTCAATGAACATTAGATAAAGTTATCTAAAGTAACATTAGATACTTTTTAACAAAAAAATGAAGCTAAACTTATAATACTAATTAATTTTGCAAAATAACATAAGATATCACAAATATTTATATTAAACTCAAATAAAATGATAATTATAATTTAACGAATCTAATAGTTGAAACTAAAAATGTAAAAAGTAATGCAACGCAATATTTGAACCTTTTTTTGAGTCTCTGCAACTCGTGCTGTCGGAGAGTATCGGAATGTCGGAGAGTGTCAAAAAACGTCCACATGATACTTTAGATTTTTTGAAGTGTCGGTGTATTATAACTGATACTACTGGGTCTTAGAACGTCATTTGTGCAGAGAAAATTGGCATACAGTCCCTGCATATAAAATTAAAAAAGAGAAAATAAAATTTTTGGACATCAAAATCTTTATTGAATTATATTTTAAAATATTTAGATATTGTTATTAGCATACATTCTGTTAAGTAATGATCACATTTTTTAAATCTTTTACTATAAACAATTTGAGATATCAATAGTTGAGAGGTTAATTTATTTTTTTTACTGGTGTAAGAATAGAAAGTCTGACATGTAATTTTGGTCATTAATTTATTTGTATCTAATAACTAACATATATAATAAGGGTTTAATGTCTCTTATGTTATAAGAAATTTTTATTTTCCGCACACATAGAAATGTATAGGGTTCATTTATTTTTTCTCTTTTCTCTTCACATGACCCTACATGGTCATACACACTTTTATATGTGTAGGAAATAGTTTTATCTCCTATAACATAAGACATATTAAACTTATATAATAAAAAACAGTCAAAAGAGAAAGAATATCATTAAAGTGTTTTTTTTTAAAAATAATTAAAATTGAAGTAGCAATAGGATATTGAAAAATCCGAAGTACTTACCTACCAAAAAAAATTAAAATCCGAAGTACTAATAGGCCTTTAATGTAAAAATCACCTGGCAAAAATAAATAAATGAAATGAACTCAATAAATAGTCTAAGTAATTCTTTTTCTCTAATTAAAAATTAAAAAATAAATATTTACTTGGAATTGGAAGTGGATTGCTATCATAGACAAACTTTACCTGCAATATTAAACTGTACCTTATAATTATCTCCAACCGAAAATTGTCTCAGCAATTGCTTATACCCAAAAAAAAAAATCTCGACTTTGAGTAAGAAAAATATTTACACGAAATTTTAAGATTTAGAGTAAAAATTAACATTGAAAATGACAGATACTCTCTTGCATTAGAGGCCTCAAACTCTGAATTGGAGACTTCATGATTTCTTCATGAAAAAATTTGCGAAAAGCAATTGGCCAAAATTGGCATAAACCTATGGTTGTTGTAGAAATTAACAAAAGCCAATCATGAAATATAGATCAGTAATACTGATTCGACCAGCATTTTACCCACTCCAAGATTTTGATTGACTATATTTGATTTCTCACTACTCGCTTTGATGAAATGATTAAAAATAATATGATTAATCGCATTGATAAGTGACTAACTGAAATTCAAGCGATTAAATCAAGTCATAGTTCTTAATTGTAGTCTGGTTTAACATTTAAACAAATTTGATTAAAAACAAAACGATCCAAAACAGTTACTATTGAATCGTAGCATCAGCCTTAAATATATGTATGACACGCAATTATTTGAATGTTCTTAAATCTATTATGAAATCCCTCTACTGAATAGGCACTGAATCAGCCAAACGCATAAATGTTGAACAAACAAAATTCCAAAATGAAAACAGGCATCATCAACAACATGCTTCGTGAAATCGAGAGTTGTTAAGACAGTAAATTATAAATAAAGCCACGGTTTCAGGAAAAGTAAGAACTGGGTTCCTAGCACGATGTTACCAAAACTTTATATGATTGATATGAAGGTGAACAAATTTCACCATGAAAGTAAACAAAGATCAATTACACATGATACAATGAAACATCATCAAAGAATTTCGATAACAATTTTCCAGTGTAAGTATTGAAGAATCAACTCTGGGAAGACAGACGCCATAGATAATCTGAGATCAGGAAGAGATAACAGAGCAATTCAATACTGGAGGCCTGCCCATGATAATGGATATCCAAAACGTACCATTTCAGTAAATGCTCAACAGTTCAACGCAGCCCCAAGACTTTGATGAATCAAATAGTTTAGGCACTACTCATCAACATCCAATATAAATCTGGCCTGTAGTCCCGCTAAAATCACTGTACAATTTGCACTATCTCTCAGCATTTAGGAGGCTGATGCAACTTCTCCAAGTAGAAGAGCTTCATTCACAATAAAAAAGGGGGGGAAAGATCAAAAAGACTCAGCTCGAGTAAATTTAGCCTCCTAGACTATTGAAGTACTTTTGGAGGTAGAATCTTCCTTCCACAGCCACCAGGAGAAATGAGACTGCACACTGCCTCCTATTAATTCTTACATATCACAAAAACTCTATAAAGCTATAACACAGTGAACCGACCACCCTTCAATGACTTATAAATGCAATCCTAACTCATGAGCATTCACCGTGCAAGCTTAGTCAAAAGGGAACAAGCATATGATCACCATTGACAAACTATCTCACAATATTCCATTCAAAACCCTCTGGTAATAATCATACTGCCGTGTCCGCCATGCATCCAGGCTGCTGCTAATAAGTGAAAGCACCAAAGATACACATTGCTGTCAGGAGAGAAGAAAAAACAAAAAACTGTTAACAATCACTTGCAAAAAAATTTGCAGTGAATAAAGTAACTAATATTAGTATTGAAACCTCTTCTGTTAAACTGAGATGGAATCGCTTTCTTAAGTTCTGTATTGTCCGTGGACCACCTTTAAAGCAGGGGAAACCAGAGTCCTGATACCAACATTAGAAAACAGTAGTTCAGGGAAAATTCAGCATGAATGGTACTGTATTTCCTGATTTTCTCCTCCCATGTCTATACAGATGCATAATATCAGTGAGAGGCCCACAAAAGTACTCTCACAGTTGAATGTCAAGACTAGCAAAGCTCACTTAAAATATAGGTTAAACTCAGGATCATGTTGCAAGACGAGGGGGCAAAAGACAAAAACGTTACTATCTAGTTAAAACTCGTGCTAGATGCATTAACAAGAAAAGAATAGACAAAAATGATGAGACCTTAAAAACAAACAAAAAAATAAATTGAACTCCAAGCTCCCGTGAGTGACAGCACTTTGCTAGGCCATCAGCACGTGCATTTGCTTCCAGATAAACATGATGCCACACGTGACTTATGAATAATGCAAAGCCATAAGAGTTCTCACACTCACAAAAATGTTTGTCAGATTGATTTCATGAACGATAATCTAACCAAACTAAAATGATCTAATAATCTAAATTGAATTATTTAAACGAGGTCATATAATTTAGGATAATTGGTTCATTTTGTGTCAAGTTTATACCAAATCAATTATCTTCGACTCGGTTTTCAGATTTATGATTTTTTAATCTAAGACATGAATCCTATCACCTTATTAATTCCCCAAGGTTACAATCAAGCAAAGAATCATTAACAAGGCAGGGGCAATATGGAAACCTCTATTTCTCTAACGTCTAATCAAACAGATGCAGTATAACCTTTTTGCACATATTGCTGTTTAAAGAAAAATAAGTTGCTGATAGGACCACACCCACCAGGGTGTACACTAGTAGGGGCTGTTGGGGATTGGGCCCCTCACAAGCCAAGGACGTGTGACTTATTCTTGGTGGGAGAAGCTTTTGCTAACAGATTTGGAGAGAGGAGGGGGGATAATTGTGGGTAGTCTCTTGGGAGAAGACCAGGTCCAGAACCTCTTGAAAGCTCTTCAGTTATCATTTCCTTTCTGTTATTGCTGTGATTATGTCTTCATACTGATATCATATTGATATCAGCGTTCTTAAAACAGAATACACGTTCTGAATTCCCTCTCTTACCTCACCGGATTCCAATCAGTTGCTTTTTCCTTTCACTGTGCTTGGGTTGGAAGGAAGAACACTCCCAAGACACAGAAAACTTTCTTTTTCAGCCATGCTCTAGACAAACCTAACAACCTCACCAATTTTCCATCCACTGCCTGATATCTAAAACAACTATGGTTATTCAATTGGCCAACAGTCATGCTGGATACTGCCCATATCCACCATTTCCTTACCAAAACACAAATATTTGGAACATACCATTTACTCAGAATTGCTTGTTATGATTGTCATCCTAAATAAAAAAGATAAACATTAAACATATACATGTTTTCCAACTCCTACACCTTCAATAGATATTAATTGTGTAGTGCTTGGTACTCGGGCAAAATATACTATTAGAGATTATCTTAACTATCTTATAAAATACAAAGACAGGCTCATCACAAGCTTCGGAAGAATACAGTCTTCTACCAATTTTCAAATCAGAAAACAAAATATTTCATAAGATTCATAAAATTACAATCATAAAGGAAGATATAGATTGCTATATTTTGTTTCAATTTTGTAGTTCAAAGATGTCCAATGTGCATGCATAGATTCTTAAGCACTTCATTGTCCAAGTAGTCTGTAATTTTTCTACACTCTTCAGTTTTACCGAAATTCGCTACAGGAAAAATTTCAAATAGCTTCTATTAGCAGAAGATGTGAGCATCCAATTGTTTGGAAATATCATACACTACACATCACTTCAACTCTACAAGAAGGAATGTAAATATAATGAGATATTCAATCAGTAGACAACTAGAAAGGTTATTTGAAAAGGTATAAATTTCCATCACTAAATAAGCTATGTTGGACTAGTCACTGAACATTAAACACCTTGCAATGGAAGCCAATAACAAAAAGTTGAGGTTGGCATAAGAAATTAGGGGGCAGCATGAATTAGATTTGGGCCAAGAACCAAAAGCGGACCATAACATAGAACCAGCTGTTCTGTTATGAGATATTGGAACAAATCACAAGCAGACAATGAACACAAGCAAGCTACATATTAGATGACAGAGGGACCACAGGAGGTTGCTAACATTTATATTACCTGCAACATCTCAACAAGAAGAATAATGCGCTCTGCATGCTTACGGCAAGTAAGGAAGCCTTGAATGCATAAAACCTGGATTACAAGGGACAGAGCATTGGACAAATTTAGAGCTAATGAAAGCAAAGGCAATCTGCAGACTCTAAGGATCTATCTATCTATATATATTCACCAGTACCTTGAAATAATCAAAGAACTCGCTTGGAATGCCCTCAGCATCAGAATCCATGACCTAGCACAATCACATTATCATGGTTATTGTATAGAGAAAAGTTAGAAACTGATCGAAAGGACACTCAAAATCAGATGTACAATAAACAGCAAATGGTCTCTGTTTTACCTCAAGAAGCTCTCGGGTTAATTTAAAAGGTGCACTTTCAAAATTAACACCACCAGGTGAATTGGAAAGCATGAAGCCAAAATCAATATGTATAATATGACCTTCTTCATCCATTAAGAGGTTCCCATTATGTCTATCCTTCACCTGGATGACAAGAAAGTAAAATGAGAAGTGGGTAAAACACAAACCTTCAATAACAATAAACAGCAAAATATTATGATATAAATTGCAATTTAAGCAGGTAATGCACCAGTTGTAGAGAATGCATGCATGCGCATATTAAAATGTTACACACCTGCAGAAGGTAGCAAACCAGGGAATATCCAGCCATACTTTCAACAAAGTTCCTCTGAAACAAAAAAAGTAAACAAATCATCAAATTATAACAAATGATATTTTCTCCATTTTAACATAAAATCAAGACTACAGAAAATAAAACCCAAAAAGGGCAAACTCCAATGCACAAAGCTCTCCTTATTTTGTGAGGGTAGGGATGAGGTTTGTATACAACCTTACTCTTGCACTTTTTGGAAACAGCGATTGTTTCCCAGACTCGAACCCGTATCCTTCCCCAATCACAAAGAAAACAACTTTGCAGTTACTCCAAGACTAGCCTTCAAAATACAACCCTCAACAAAATTTAACAACCCCCCCCCCCCCCCCCCCAAAAAAAATGCAGAGCTCTCCCACCTCCCTTAATATGTCCAAAAAACCCCCTTGATTTTACTGAAAAAATTAGGATTTAAGTATTGATTGACCCATGTAGCCAATCCAAGCAGGATAAGCCATTGTTATTGTTGTAGTAAATGATATAAAAAAGAAAGAGAATAAGAAAGGAATATCTACTATCCACAAATCCTCGCAAAATGTAATTCATGACTCAACCTATAAACAATAGGTAACAGAAGGAAGATAATAAGCATAACTATAAAATAAATTTTAATAGACTATTGTGAGTTGACATAGTTATCACCATAATTATCAATAACAAATGATAGCAAACCTGTTCTTCTGCCACATCATACTGCAACAACCCTCCCCAACCCCGCAAATATGTTAACTACATCCCCAACATCTCTTGATTTCTTGCAGTTTTTTTTCTATTGAAAGGTCACAGGTTCAAATCCGGAAAACAAACATTTTGCAAATATGCAAGGGTAAGGCTGCATATAAGGATTGTCCTCATCCTTATCCTCGCTAGCCGAGGTTTAATGGGGAGCGTTTTTTTAAAAACATAAAATAAGGTGTTTTCCACCACATATCTGGTTATTTTTTGGGATGTTTGTCAGGTGTTTTAAATATGAGGACATTAAATTTTCAGAGATTATGCTGAATTTTCAGGAGAAACATTTTTTGAACATAGATGTTGATGGGCCTTTAATAAAGTATCCAAGCCCATTAGTTAGGAATTAATTACATATAGATGTTTAGGGTGGTGTTTCTTTATGCTGATTGTTATTTGTAATTCGGGAATCAGGAGAGGAAATATGGAAGCTCTCAAGGCTAGGTTGTTGTCTTGGAGTGGAGTTTTTCCTTTTGTTCTTTCTATGTTTGTTATTACTTTTCAATTTAATTGTATGTTTTCATTAATACCATCAATTCTAATTGGGATCCATCAATTTGGTATCAGAGCATCTTCGATCCGGAGGTGCTTCTGGTAAATGAAAACGATGGGAGGAATCAGAGATTTTGAGCTTAAGGAAATGACGATGAAAATGGTGAAAATTATAGATGAGGCATTAGAGAAGGAAGAGTTTTAAAAAATTGAAGAAAAAAAAGAAAAAAAGAAAGAAAATGCAGCAGCAGGAAAAGAAGAAAAAGAATGAAACTCAGAAGAAGAAAAAAAGAAGAAATCGATGAAGAAAAAGAAAGAAACGGAGGAGCTGAAGGAAACGCAAAAGCGCACAAAGGAAGAATAGAGGTTGAAGAAGAACAACAACAAACAAAGGAGGAAGATTGCATTTCAAATCCTGACCCAAAGAGAAAGATAAGAGATACAAGAAAAGTCAGCTACCAAACAAGAGATGGAGGAAAGAGAGGGAGAAGAAGGTGGCGATGAAAATCATGTGTATGAGCTATCGAACTTGGACCTCCACAAAGAAGAGGATGGGTCTTCGCAGATCAGCCATGGGAAGGATAAGCCGTGAGGAGAGCACGTAGATGAGAGAGAAGATTGAGAATGGGTTACTGATCTAGGTTGTATGGCACAAGGGGTTGAAGAAAGGGAGGAGTGGATACGGGTCAGATCCATAACGGGTTGGGCGAGTTACAGATATGGGGTTGAAGTTGAATGTCACTCGCTGCTGGCTTGGTCAAACAGGGCCAGTACCCACTTTGAGATGCAGCCTATTCTGGGTTATAATTTAGAATGCAACGGACCAAGGAAAATGGGCCAACCTGAAACAAATGGGATAGGAGGAAATGGAAAAAATAGGTTTTCAATTGGGCAATCTTTAAAGACTAGCGTGACAAACCAAGGGGGAGCTGCTGGTATTTGCAACCCGAGCATGAATGGAGGAGGAAGAGCGGCTAAGATCCATTGCCTCAGGCCGGAGGAGCTCAACGACGAACTACGATGCAATCTTCGTTTCCACTGCAATGCGCCTTTCTCGTCGGATTATGTGAGCCAGAATCAACACCTCTTTGTTGGGGCTGGAGCGATGGTGCAAGGCAAAGCCGAAACTACGAACGGTGGCCAAAATGGATGTTGTGGACTGCGATTTCACCGATTGACGCGGGAGGTGCTTAAAGACAGGGGAAGACAAAGCCTATGTTTCAGGTGGGATGCTCCTTTTTTTCCTTCTCTGATTGCTTCTTCGATTTGTTCTTTTTTTCTGCTCTCTTTTCTTGATCTTCTTTTTCTTCTCCAATTCTTTTTTCTGTTTCGTTTCTTCTTTTTTTTTCAACTTTTGTTTCTTTGATTCTCGCTTTTTTTCTTCTTCTGCAAAACAAGGATCGATGCGCTCTATTAACGTCCAAATTGTTTTTTGAAGTTGATGAAAAGCGTCTTCAACTCGATTCATTCCTTCTTCCACTCGATCCATGCTTGCTTCCAATCGATCCAAGCTCCTCTCCATTTTGTTCACTTTGTTATCCATTCTTTTTTTTTTCTTTTTTTAGATCCGGAACAGAAACACCCTTAGATCGGAAGTGCTCTGATACCAAATTGATGGAACCCAGAAAAATACACTATTGAATTCATTAACAATGGAGGCATAGCCTCTTTTTACATACACTAATACAATATAAAACGCAGAAAATCTCAACTCCCCCTCAAACCAAATACCTAGGCTTAAGAGTTCCCTAGAGGTCTCCTAATTTCCCCACTAAACCAGTATTCAATTCATGCATAACAGAAACATCACCCTAAACTTCTATATATACTAATTCTCAGATAGTAATGGGCTTGGATTATTCAGCCAGCCCATTATCGATTGGAGGCTGTTGCATTTATCTCTGTTACAGAGGTTCCATTTACAAAGCTCGATTGACCATGACAAACAATTTGAGATGTTGTCCTTTCCTCTTCGCTATATTGATGATGAAGTGATTGAAGCAACATTACTGAATGGGTTACGAGGAGAAATTCGTGAAGACGTGAATATGGATTTTGTTGATGACTTAGGTCAGATGATGGTTTTGGCCCAAAGAAAAAAAGAAAGAGAGGCTGTTTGGGGTCAAATTGGATCAATGGGTGGACGAGTTCTAGGAGGAACAGGTCATGGTGATGGGATTTACATTAGGGAAGCCTTGACTCATAATTGAGCCAATGGTGGATGGGAAAATAGGCCCGATTCAGCCAATGATAAGACATCCCATGTATCTCTGACCATTTATATAACTCATGAATTGAAGCTACCAATGTGGTCAAGATGCTTCAAACAATGCGATCCAGGTGGAATCCTAGTCTCTTCCTTCACCTTGAGGACAAGGTGAATTTTGAAGGGGAAATATTGATGGGCCTTTAATAAGTATCCAAGCCCATCAATTAGGAATTAGTTATATATAGATGTTTAGGGTGGGGTTTCTTTATGCTGATTGTTATTTGTAAATCGGGAATTAGGATGGGGAACTAGAAGAGTAAATAGGGAAGCTCTCAAGGCTAGGATGTTGTCTTGAAGTGGAGTTTTTCCTCTTGTTTTTTCTATGTTTATTATTACTTTTCTGCAATTTAACTATATTTTTTCTAAATATGCTAAACTACATTTTTATGAAAAGTTGGTATTTTAAAATCTTTTCTGTCATCAGGCTTGTCTGGTTGAATTAAATATTAATATTCAGCCTATGCGCTGGTCATGGATCATAAGGTGGATCACAAGTTCGTGACAAAGAAAGAATACACAAAGAAGAAAGATAAGATATCCTCCTTAGATAAACTAATAGGAAAACAAACAACCAAGACAAACAAATTTATATTCAGCTCTTTTGTTTCCGTGAATGTTTTATAGGTCTAATTAAGAAAACATGAAATTAGAATGTCAAACAAATATATGCTTGTGGAAAAAATGTCCAATCAAGAATTTATTGCAAGTTATAAGATGAACGATGTCAGTCCATAATAATGCAGAGTATCTCATCTCTACATTACCTGGGCAAGTTTAAAACTCGGAGAATCTTCTTGATACTTGGCAATGAAGAATTCACGTAAACTTGAGATGTTGGGATATCTACTCTTGATAGAATGTAGAGAAGCCTACAAATCATATATATTTTTAATGATTAGTAAATATAAAATTGTAGATGTTACAATAAATTTGGAATGTGCAAGCACAGAATTACCGTATCTGGAATTGTTTCAATAAGAGCTGTGTAAGAAGAAGTACATAAAACTTCATAAGGGCGTAACCAGAGAGGTAGACCAGCTTCTTGGAAAATATCTGGCATCAAAATCTAATGACTGTAAGCAACACAAACAGACAAGAGTCTGCTGCATCCTGGTGTAATCTGGTATCATAGCATAGGAAAATAAGATCTAATCATGCTTCATCAACAATTCATGGGTGCATCCAACCTGTTCACTAGATAATTTCATTCTTGCTTTTACATACTTCCACTTTAATTTACAACTACCCCATTGGAAACTGCAATCAAGTAGATTTAGCATATCTCAATGTGCACATCCGAAAAATGGAACTAAAACTGAGATAAAAAAATCAAACATTTGCTCGTAGAAGATAAAGGACTTTAGCTGACTTGTAATGGCCTGTTTTTCCCCTTTAAATAACAGAAAAATGAAAAGAGAATGAACTTTCTGAATAGTTTGTAAAACCTTCTTAGCTGCTTTACAAAATTAAAATTATTAAGGATCATATGGATCCCAAAAGACATTTTCATTCTCTTCTCTTAATGCAGAATGCATAACCAATGAAAAATCTCGATTTCTGTCATTCAGGGCATACTAAATCTATGCATGCATAGGAAATTCTAAAACAACATTTATTCAAAGAAAATTAGTCTTAAAAATAGGGGTAGCCTGGTGCTAAAAAGCTCCAGCTATGTGCAGGATCCAGGGAAATATAGGATATATCTTATTTGACCATAATCATAATTTCATAAATAAATATAAAGGTATTGTGGAAATCAAATACCAAAAGAGAAAATAATATAAAAAAAATATGTATTTGCACCATAATGAATATCATTGGAATTTAGAACAAAGAATTGTTAAATTCTGAATAGGAAGGGGCAAAGGAAAAGTCTGAAAGAAACCACCTACCATAGAAGTGTGAAATAAGTTGAACTGCCAGATGCTCCTGCCTACAATCGTCCCCACTCTTTACAATAACCTACGTGAAAAGGGGAAATTGTGCTATCATGCTCAAAAGAATTGTTGCCTTAAAGCACACATTCTCAAACAGAATAATCAAATAACTCATCTAGAACAAAAACTGACCATATTTTACACTTTACAGAACCATATTGATAAAGTAAAGAAAGACATGATAGTGAGGCTTTCAACACATTGGAAAAATCAAGGTCTTTTCTGCCAAATATAGATACTATTTCCCGACTCTATTATGTGAATTACATCATGATATGTGCCAATACAGAGGTACATCATAATCTCTAACAGCACACAAAGAATGAAGGAAATATTTCATTAATAGCAACGTGAAGACAACATTTTCATGGCTAGCCCATTTTCCTAACTAGATTCTTCAATGCTAAAATGTTATGTATTATCCAAAAAGCAAGCTTGTCCGAAAAGTTTGTCAACCTTTCTTATAGTTGCCCCGCTGGAGAACATTCTTTCAGATTGTTGTTCCATTGATATTGTCAAGTATAATTATAAAAACCATTAAGAAAATACTTTGACAGCAATATTTTTCAGAAAAATATTGAATGCACTGCACCTTAATATGTGATAAAAAGTATGATGTGTAACAGCACAACATTCTCAACCCCACTAGAAACTACAATCTGTTACAATTACAAACAATATTTTTCGACTTGGATAAATAGATCAAACAGAAAATCAGTAAATAAACTAAACACTTTTCTTTAGGTAATAAGAAATGAATGATCAAGAGATACGTGGGTGCCATTCTTTATATCTGTTACGCATACCATTTATATTTATGATTTAAATTCATGTCTTCTTGAATTTACAAAAGAATGACATCTAAAGCAAAATCTTTTGATTGATAAATATACTTACAGATCGCAAGTACCATCCAGGTAATTTCCCATATATAGAAGCCTTTTGTATCCTCTCTTTCTTTGCCTCCCAAAGTTCACCAGACAAGGCATCACTGGCTTTGGGAGTAATTCCATTAGCCTGTTCAAAGGAATCATGTCAGGTATAACAACCTGCATATTTCTAAGGTTAAACAAAATAAAAATCACAAAAATAATGTTTTACCATTGGTTGTGCATCTGATGAATCTTGACCAGCACCTTTCAAAGGGAGTCCAAGAGGTGCCTCCCCTTTTGCTGCCGCAGCCTAGCAAATTTGAAATGTTAGCAAAAATTAAATTGTAACATGACCGAAAAATGCCAAATAAAGACATGAACGATCAATTTGTCATAAGATATTAGACATTGATACAATGAAATTAGAAGTTTGAAGCTAAGGAAAAGGATAAAGTTGCTCGGAAGTTGACAACTTGGCATATTATTGGTTTACAAGCCAATGACAGTAAAACGGTTTTAATTACAATAAACAAGAATAGTAGGAATCAGAACTAATTTTTGAGTACATTCCATAGATATCTGAGAATTAGTCTGAAGGAGAAACTTGGCTAACCTTCTTTACAAGTCTGACAGCAAATGAGAACTTAAAAAATGAAGCTCAATAGTAACATTGACCAAAATAATATGAATAGCAGCCTCAATATCCCTAAACATCACTCCAAGACTGACCTTTACTTCCTCTATTGCCACTGTACTTGGAACACGGCGATGTTCCTTCCGCCGTCGTGGTGCTTGATCCTCAATATCTTCCATTCTAACCCCAGGATCAGCTTTCAATACTACACGTACCCACTCCACATCAATGTCATGTCCTGCTCTTGCCATTTCTCGTACACTCTCTCTACAATTTGAAGCAGGATGCTGACTATCACCACGTAGATCCACTTCAGTCTTCTCCAGCAGACCATGTAATTGTGTTTCCACAGAAAGATTCAAACTAACAAATTTGACTTTTGCCTCAGATGCATGGGTCATTGCCAGGTCAATAGCCTGAGCAGTTGATCTGGACATCCTATCATTGCTATTACGATATGCCTCTTGTGCTGACCATAATGGATAAGCCCAGGGGGGTGGTTTTTGCAAGAAAGCATCTCCATTCGCCAAAGGAATTCCACCTTTAGAAAGTTTCTGAGAACTGGATGTGTCCTTGGAATTACTACAACAAATGTTTTGCAGGAAGGGGAATATATCAGAAATATGATTCTCATTTTACTAACTGCACTATTTTCCACAACGCATGAGGATTATTATCCAAGCAATACCTTGGCATTTCGCATTTCAAAACTTCAACACAAATCAGGTAAGGCGCCTTCTCCCTAGAATTCAAGAGAACAGCTTCATCTTCAGGTATATGAAGCACACGGTACATGCCCTTTCCCAATGGAAAACAAACTCCTAGGAATATAGGAAAAGCAAGACTCATATACAAGCAAGAAGATAAATGAAAACCATAAGCAAATGGAACAGTAGCATAATTGGCACACCAAAAAGTGACAATTTTAAAGTAAAGAACTAAAATAGGCAACAATTTCCACAACATATTTACATAATATAAAAACTTCTCAGCAGTTCCTCTAATAAATAGGCCCCTAATAAACACCATAATGATGGTTTCTAAACATTAATTCCTAGATAAATGACAAAACATATGTTAGATGTAAGGAAAATTTCACCATTTTGTTAGATGTAACATTAATTTCACCAATAAACTTCACCAACAAAAAAGATCTCTGCCCATCTGCTTGACAACCAAACCATGTATCAAGGTAATATTCCAAAAAATAAGAGAAACAAACATTCTCTGACTCTTCACCACTAAAGGGAGCACATTTTCTGTGTTATGGGAGTACATACTCCCTTACTAAAAAAGGAAAAAAAAGGGGATATGGGAGGAAATAACCATAAAGCCATGGATAGTGTAATTATATTATTTTTTTCATATTTGGTAAAGGATGCCCAGTACTCCCGTAGCACTGGAAATATTTTCCTCTAAAGGTGGCACTACTGCCATTGAAACACCATAAATAGTGGAATCGATTGAGCACTACTGAACATCACTAAACTAATCTCATTAACAGTTAAGAAGTACCTCCAGTATTCTGAGCCTCTGTTAAATGTAAATTGATCTCTGCAAGCGACTTGAAACACAGGAATATCAAAGAATATGTGTCAGAAGCATTAGAATGTAACAGGTTCAAACATGTATGAAAAAACCTACATATTTCCACTATGTGGATTAGATAAAGAAAACATCAAAGAAAAATGTAAGGTAATAACCTCAAGCAGAGCACATTTGCGATCTTCAATTGGAAATACATCCACTAACCCAAAAGATGTTTCACATAATGACAGCACAAAATCCAATGACTCATGGTAAGCTCCTTTCCGGAACTGCGATGGATTAATTGGAAGTGGAGGCTTTGTTCGTAATTTATCATTTTGCTGCGTTGGCGATCCAGGACGCTTCTGCCAAAGTAACATGATAAAATCCAACTGAGGCATAATAACATAATATTTGGCAAATTGCTTTTTATCTAATATTAAAATCCAGCAAAAATATGAAGACAATGAAAACAGACTTCAGAATGCACAATACCGATGTTACTCATCTAACTCTAACCCACACAACTATTATCAGATACATCACTAATAAGGATCATTTCCTCAAGCCTCTATCATGTGTGCAATATGTCATGCATCCATGTAAAGCTGATCCCTTATTTTCGGGGGTGATTTGGCTTCTAATTCTCTAATTTTGGCTACCTTATTGTGGCTTATGAGTATGCCTGACGACAATTTCAAAGTTTTCATTGATCCAGTGGCAAGGACCAATGGTAGCATCACAGATAGTGCCTCTTCAACAACAGTGTTGGTTGAATTGATTCCATCTAATGCAAAAATCACTGACAGGAAGTTGGGTGGTGATGGCGTGAATTACCCTCAGTGGAAGAAGATGATTGAGATGTATTTGAAAGGCCATAGTAAGGAAGATCACCTTACTCAAAATGGTCCAAATGTGGCTACTAAAGACTTGTGGATACAAGAGGATATGCAGCTGTACTCACAAATTAAGTGGACCAGAGATCCTCAAGTAGATGATATTATCCTGAAGAAAGGTTCTTGGTCGATTCCTGATTATTAGCTTCTGATTAAAGTTATCATTGACTCATTGAACTCTATTGGTTATTCACTACTCTAAAACCTTCCCTCTTGTCGAGGATCAACTCTCCAAAAAGCTTAGATTGTTAAGTGAAGGCACATGAATGATTTTATATTATATATCAAACCATGCTTAAAGCTTCGTCACTGATTTATATCTTTAAGTCATCCCCTCCCACAAGAACCCCTTGGGCTTGAAGCGTGAACAATGCACAAACCCGCTTCCCTTGTGTTAAAATTTTCATCGTTTCTAATTAGAAGAATGGTGGCAGGGGTCAAACTCTAGACCATAAGTGGTACATGGGTGCCCAAAACCTTCGCAAGGGATGCTTCCCATCAATAAGCTAAGCAACAAACCACAATAAATGGGGTTGAGACCACAAGTCAACCCAAAATCTTAACGCATTAAGTTTTATGAGTCTTTCCACTTATATAGCTCTCATTTGATCCATTCTTCACCAATATGGGACTTCACCTCACACACTTGAATTTTCAATATTCTACCCTCAAGTGTAGGCCCAACCTTATGCTCTCGCGTAAGGCCAAGTCTCTAAGGAAGCCTCTTCAAGTTTGGAGTTACACTAGCCTCTGTGGAGGCCTGTCCAAATACTCCACCATCTCGAAATACGTGGCACAGCTAAACCATTGTCTCTAATACCATGTCAAGAACCAAATTTCCCAAAAGCTTAAGTTGTTGGGTGAAGACACATTAATAATTTTATATTATATTTCTAATCATGGTGAAAAGTTCGTCACCGACTCACCGGCTTATATCTCTAACATCTCTCATGATTATGTTGGCTTTTATTCCTTGGTTCATCTCATTGTTGGTCATTGCACCAACTTGATGTTAAGAATGCCTTTTTCCATGGTGATTTAGAGGAAGAAATCAATATGGAGCAACAATTTGACTTTATTGCTTAGGAGTACGTGAAAAAGTTTGTCGACTTAAATAATCCGTATATAGATTGAAACAATCTCCAAATTCTTGGTTTAGAAGAGTAGCTATGAGTACTCTATCTTTTGTCGACAATCCAAGGAAGGTTAGTTTATGTTGATGTCTTGATGACATAGTAAATTGGGAAGCAACACATTTGGTATTGCAAAAATCAAAAGCTTCTTTCAAACCGATTTCAAACAAAAAATCCTAGGCCCTTTAAAGTATTTCTTAGGATATGAAGTAAGGAGAAGCAAAAAGAAGATTATCTCTCTCAACGAAATCAAGTTCTTAATCTCCTTTCTAAGGTTGGCATGTTGGAGCTAGTAGACCTTGTGATATTTTGTGATACTCAAATGGTTCCAAATGTGAAACTAACTGCAGATGATGGAGAGTTACAATCTTAACAAGAATGTACAAGAAGTTATTTGGTAAACTTAACTATTGTACTATGACACGTCTATAATTTCTTTCCTAGTAGGTGTAGTCAGTCAGTTCATGTCATCTCCTCAAAGTTCTCAATCGAATGAGGTTTTGCACATCTTGAGGTGTTTGAAAAGAGCTCCAAGTCATAAAATTCTTTATAAAGAGAATGGGCATAGTAGAGTATAAGGTTATCATGAGGCAGACTGGCTGAGTATCATATAGATCTTAAATCAACCTCTAGTTCTTGTATGTACCTTGGAGGAAAGTTAATTTCTGGAAAAATAAGAAACAAAATGTGGTAGTGAGATCAAGAAGTCTGAATATCGAGCAATGGGCCAAACTTCTTGTGAGTTATTATGGGTGCATCTTCTATTCAATGAGATTGGGTAGCATACAATGGCCCTCTACCTATGAAACTTTGGAGTGACAATCAAGCTACCATTCACATTGCCTTGAAGCCAGTGTTTCATGAAAGAATAACACACATAAAAGTCGATTGTCATTTTATTCAAGAAAAAACACAGCAATGAGTTGTGTTTATTGGACATATGTTAACTAGAGAACAGATAATTGACATCTTCATGAAGGAACTTAACGAGAGTAGGGTTGATTACCTTTTGTAAAAGTTGGTCATCATCAACATCTCTGATCCAACTTGAGAGGAATGTTGAGAACTAAGTGTACTACGAATGTGATTAATGTGCAGAGGGTATTTATGTCCTCGGCACTATATTGTACAGCTAGCATTACTACATTGACTGCTAGCCTGATTTAATAAATAAAAATGCAGAGACCTGCACCCACATTCGGTCCAGTTTTCCCAAATATATTTCTAGTTTACAACTGTAAAATGGACATTTTATCATTTTGTCCTAGTGCAATTAAGACGTTTGTATGATTAAAAATGAAATTATTTGGCATGTCTGAATATGGATTCTGCTCATTTTTTTGGTTTGCTTTTCACCAATATACAAATAAACTAAATGTTAGTTGTTATAAATACTCAACAGACCTCCTTTTGCTTCTTTGACACCAATAGCTCTGAATCTTCAATTGAACGGTCACGATCTCTAAACAGTTTGCGGAAAAAATTCTCCGTACCTGGACTACTTTCAAGCAAGCCACCATTGTTGTTTTCATTGGCTGAACTACTTTTACCATCCTCATGGTGCCCACGAAATAGTCTTTTGAACAAAGAAAAATCAGAAGGCTCTTCCTCAACATTGGTAGTAGCGTCTTCAATTTTATCATTTGTATCTTTCTTGTCCTCAAATTTATCCTTAAAGAATTTCCTGAAAAACCCTTCTTTTTCATCCTCTTCAGAAGGCATCACACATTTCTCTTCAGAATTAGCAGTATCTCCTTCATCATTTCCATCCTTCTTATCTTCAAATTTCTCTCTCAAAAACTTTCGGAAAAATCCCTCCTTCTCTTCATCTTCCATTGTTTTAGTGAGTGTTTTATCCTCGGAATCATTCTTGCTATCACGAAACAATCTCTTAAAAAATCCCTCTGAACTTGAGGCCAAATCCTCATCTTCACCTTTACTGTCCCTTAAGAGCCTTTTAAAGAATCCATCCTTTTCAGAGTCTTCATCATCTCCTCTGCTATCCCTTAAGAGCCTTTTGAAGAAATTATCCTTTTCAGAGTCTTCATCATATTTCTCAGATGACTTACGAAAGAGAAAAGCATCTCGAATTTTTTGGCCCAACTCATCATCACCTTTGCTATCTCTTAAAAGCCTCTTGAAAAAACCATCCTTTTCAGAATCATCATCATCTTTCTCTACTGACTTCCTAAAAAGCAAAGCATCTCTTACCTTTGGACCTGGCATAAATTTCTTAAATAACTTGTTTTCATCAGGAGATTGCGGACTACCATCCCCTTGCAAATTGTTCCCCGAAGAAGGCGTAAATGACAAAGACCTCTGAGTAGGCGGTGAAGATGTTAGCGACAACAACCGCTGTTTTGATGAAAATATCTTATTCAAAACTTGGTTCTTACCTCCAGGGCTTGAAGGTGCACCTTGAGGCCGTATCAGGGGTGGCCACTCAGCCATCAAGGTGGCTGCAATCTGGCACTTCTCCTGAATCCTACTAATCCCTTCATTATCATCCGAGTCCTCAAGCTCCGCCAATAAGAACCAATGTACCTTCAAAGCAATCTTAAGCGACTTAGAACACACATCTATGACAAACTTATCCAAAGACGGGCTCGGCTTGTGTATCATCATGTAACAAACTTGGAACAAATAACTCTCAATCCCGTGCAAGGGAAGTGTATACATTCTATTACACAAATAATCACGAACCCCGGAGTGATCATGTTTGTACAAGTAGCTAACAGCAATCCACTCGCAGAAGAACGAGGAATCAAAGAACCTGATGAGCCAACCATTTTCACTGGACTCACTGGTCAGATTGGACCTCGAAACAATTTCCCTTGGTTCATCTGCCTCCCTACGATTCAATCCTAAAAGCCTCACCATCCTCAATGTACCATCATCAACCCCCCCAAGGGAAAACCGAGACCAACCCTTGTCTCGTTTCAGCCAAAAAAAAACCACCCTGATTTCAATTAAATCACCAGCTAAAGCATTCTAAGCCCCTCAATTATAAACCCTACAAATCCCTAAAACCTTCGCTGAAAACCCTAATCCTCTCACGAACCCAAATCGCCACCCTCATCGCTTGTCCGATTCGGGCGTCTACTGCAATTTAGCAGAAGAAACCCTTGCATCGATCATGGAAACGATAGAACAACACAATCCACGCTTTCTCTTGAGCAAAATGAGGGCACCGAATATTGAAGCTGTAGCAGGAACAATTGGGGAATATTTTCCCCCTAGAAATCGCAACGCGGCTTCAATTCGAGGAAATGAAGGTATCTAAATTGCGTGATAGGTGAAATGTGAATCTGATTCTAACTGCACGAGAAAATGGAATTGAATCGAATTGCGCAATGGATCTCCGCGCCTTGTTCCAAACGACAACGTTTTGATGGCGGTGGTTACGGTTGCACTGGCAATCATGCGGTGGTGGTGGTCGTTGTCGACGTTTCTTTGTTATAGAGAGAAGAACGACAAAGGTGAGGTACGAAATAATTAAAAGAGAAAAAAAAAATTGCAAAGATGCGCACTCCTAGGCTCGGGGGGAACGATTAATTTCCCTCCAATTCCAATTAAAGTGAATTTTACGTTATTGGAAAATAATTTAAATATTCATCATTAATATACTAAATACTTTCGAAAAATAAAATAAAGTGCAAACGTTCGCCATTGATGTTAAAATTAAAATATTCTTTTTTCTTTTTTCTTTTTTCCACCAAACGCCAAGACAAGTTATTCTGTTAATTTTTGTTGTCCTTCAAGTCGAGAGTACGATGATACATCATTGGAACAACACATACATGGAGTTGTAACTACTAATTTAGGAATCGTATCAAGTGCTTGCCGTTCGCGGGTTGGTATTGGAGTGAATGACAATGTGACGCTATTAACATGCCTGGAATAAAGTGCCTCAAAATTTGAGGATGTTTAAGGGGTACTTCTCAGGTTTTGGATACGTATAGTGACTGTAGAAATTGTGATAAGAGATTTAACTTGGATTCTATGATATTATGATCTGTAGAAAAATGTGAGATATTGACTGAGCAGTTATTCATACTTTTTTTTTGGTAACAAAAGAAAGGGAAAAGCCCAAAACAAAGAAAAACGAAAAGCAAATTAGAAAAAAAATCGATACAAAATCATCCCAAAATGAAATTTCTAGGCTCGGAAACTCGTGATGCATCAGCTTGCAGAAGCAAACCAAGGGCTACTAGAGGTCTCAAGAAATGCCAAACGTCATACAACTCTGAGTGATCGTATAAGGGTAATTAGCCAACCAGTCTGCACAATAATTTGCTTCCCGGAAAGCATGCACTAGACGAATTTGCCAGTCACGATCTGATACGAACAAGAGGTCTAACCGTACAAGGAAGGAGTCCGTGAGGCTACGTGACTATTATGTGGCATGATAGGTTGTGGAATATCAATAGTAACTCAGATGTAAAGGTTGTTAGAGAATGTGTGAGCTGGCTTAAGCCACATGAGTTAGCTAGGGAAATTGTATAAAAGGTGGATATGAAGCATTGTACCAATTTCAATTTGAATAATAATCTGTCTTTTCGATTCCTTTTCTCTCTCTGAGAGTTTATTCGTATCATCTGGTGCTTTCATCGATCTTGCACTCAGCAACGATGCGAGTCCAAGACTTAGCGGAAGAGTTCGCGTCCCACCGTGTTGAGATCCAGCAATGATTGGATCAAATATCTGAAACCCTAGATGCGCGTTTGTCATCTATTTCTGCATTGGATGCTCGATTTGCAGCCATTGATGCTCGTTTGAGAGATATGTCTCATGCTTCTCCGCACTCTTCGAGTTCAGTTTCTTCATTACAGCCACACATGGAGTTTCCGGACACGAGAAATCCTTGTAAGCAAGTGAAGACGGAGATTCCGGCATTCAATGGCACCGATCCAAACAATTGGATTTTCAAAACAGAGCTTTATTTTCGTCTTCAGCAGATCCCGAAGCGTTGAAGGTGCACCTTGCAGGCCTGAAAATGGAGGGAGCAGCCGCACCGTGGTATCAATGGATCTATGGCAGTGGTACAGTGAATTCATGGCCAGAATTTTGTGTCGCAGTAAAACAGAGGTTCGCTTTTCCTAACCATCGTGATGTGCGTGGGGTTCTTTCCAAGCTCACGCAGACAGGGACGTTGTTTGATTACATGAAGGAGTTCGAACGATTGATGAACCAGGTCACGAATCTTGGAGATGATCTTTTGATGGAATTCTTCGTTTCTGGCCTCCAACCAGAGTTACGAGGAGCTATACACTTACATTGGCCTACTTCGTTGCATCACATAATGCAGTTAGCAATGTCGTATGACTCTCATTTTAATGAGCTACGATCCTCGTTCAATTCATCAACTAAGAAGTTCGTTCCCAATCGTTCTTCACCATTACCTTCTTGGAAAAACTCCACTGACAAACTGCTTTCGAATACGTCTACCGTTGTTCTGACTCAAGGTAATACTTCAGCTCCTTTAGCATTACAGTCTTCGTCACTCTCGTCGTTACCCATTAAAAAATTACCACCAGAAGAATTGCAACGCAAGAGAGATTTAGGTATCTGCTATACTTGCTATGAGAAATGGACAGCGAGTCATAGATGCAAGGCGCGAATGTTACTACTGATTGGAGAACCAGATGATCCTCCACAGGAACCAGAGGAGGAGGTTGTGTGGCAGGTGGCGAATACGGATGAGAATGTCACTCATGCAGCGTTACACACATTGGCAGCATCAGTTAATCCACGTTCATTGCAACTGTCAGCTTTAATCAGAAAGCAGGAAGTAGCAGTGTTGATTGACTCTGGAAGCTCACATAATTTCATCCGCAAACAGTTGGCTGATGACTTACAGTTGCCCATGTCTCGTGTAACTCGAATGAAGGTCTTTATGGGCAATGGTGAGTATATGATTTGTGAGAAAAAATGTGTTAATGTCTCGCTACTGATACAAGGCTTAGAGTTTGTGGTGGACCTGTGGGTTGCTGATCTTAGTGGGTTAAGTGTAATCTTAGGCATGTGTTGGTTGAGCCAGCTAGGGAGAGTCACTCATGATTATGGTGACCTGTCGATGGAATTTGCATGGAAAGGTGGCTGTGTGAAATTATGTGGAATTTCAGATGGAGTTTCACAACACAGTAATGCAGAAAGGTGTTGCATTTTGGAGGGCCATCCAGGGAACATAGCTACTGGAGAGTTGACTTCCGAATTGGAAACTTACAGAGATAAAGTTCCTTTCCAATTGTGGCAGGTCTTGGTGCGTTGTGAATTGGTGTTTGCAATTCCAAAATCCTTACCCCCTTTTAGAGGAATGGATCTTTGCATTCATTTGAGCAAGGATTCCCAACCGGTGAACGTGAAACCTTACCGTTACCCTTACTAACAGAAAGGTGAAATAGAACGACAAGTTTCAGAACTTTTGTCATCTGGTTTTATTCAATACAGCAAGAGCCCCTTCTCCTCCCCTGTTCTGTTGGTGAAGAAACAAGATTCCTCATGGCGCATGTGTATCGACTATAGGGCCTTGAATTCAATCACGGTGAAAGACCGTTTTCCCATACCCACAATCGAGGAGTTTCTAGATGAGTTGCTAGGAGCTGTGATCTTTAGCAAATTGGACCTTCGTGCAGGGTATCATCAAATTAGAGTGGTTCCCGAAGATGTCCATAAAACAGCCTTCCGCACTCATGACGGCCATTACGAGTTCCTTGTAATGCCGTTTGGTTTAACGAATGCTCCCGCCACTTTTCAATCGACGATGAATAAGATTTTTCAGCCATTTCTTAGGAAATTTGTTATCGTCTTCTTTGATGATATCCTTGTGTATAGTTCATCATTGGAGGAGCATGTGAACCACCTCACCCAGGTACTGCATTGTTTAATTCAGAATTGTTTTTTTGTGAAACTAAGTAAGTGTGATTTTGCTGTATTTGAAATATCTTATCTGGGTCACATTGTTTCTGAGTTGGGTGTGAAAGCTGATCCAAAGAAGGTGTCAGCAATGCTTGAATGGCCCAAACCTTCTTCTGTTAGACAACTGCGAGCATTTTTAGGACTGACAAGGTATTATCGTCGATTTGTGCATCATTATGCTACAATTGCTGCCCCGTTATCTGACATGTTAAAGAATGACAAGTTTTTGTGGAAGCTAGAGGCTGAGACTGCTTTTCAGCAGTTGAAAGAAGCTATGTCATCCACCCCTGTTTTGGCACTTCCAGATTTCACATCTCCATTTATAGTGGAGTCTGATGCATCCCAATCTGGTGTTGGAGCTGTGCTACTTCAACATGGGAAACCCATCTCCTTTTATAGTAAGAAGCTTGGACCGAGAATGGCTGCTGCTTCTACCTATATTCGAGAGCTCTATGCCATAGCCGAAGCTGTGAAAAAGTGGCGGCATTATTTGCTTGGTGCTGAGTTTATAATTCGAACGGATCACCAAAGTCTCAAGCAATTGTTTCAACAAACAGTGTTGACTCCCGAGCAATACAAGTTTGTTATCAAGTTATTGGGGTACAGTTTCAGAATTGAATACAAACCAGGAATTTCAAATGTTGTTGCCGATTCATTGTCAAGACAGCATGAGGAAGTTAGTTTTTTATGCACTTTGTGGTCCGAACCTGAGTTTGATTTGCTCACTGTGATCAGAGCAGAAAATAATTCTGATCCTGACTTGTTATTGCTACATCAAAAGCTGCAGAATTGAGATGATGTGGATCCATCCTTATTATGTAGAGATGGCATTCTGTTTTACAAGAGTAAATATTTGTTGGGTTCTCAATCGAAATTAAAGGACCACTTACTTGAAGAGGCTCATTCTACAAAACTAGGAGGCCATGCTGGTACTTTGAAAACATTTTGCAGATTGTCTGCTACTTTTCATTGGCCTAAAATAAGAGATGATGTCAAGGCATTTGTCCAGCAGTGCATCGTATGTCAGCAAATTAAAACTTCTACACAAGCTCCATTGGGACTCTTGCAACCACTTCCCATTCCGGAAGCTGTGTTTGAGGATTTAACATTGGATTTTGTGACTGGCCTTCCTTGTTCAAACGGGTACAGTGCAATATTAGTGGTTGTTGACCGTTTAACAAAGTTTGCCCATTTTGGACCCCTCCAAGCTGCGTATACAGCTTCGACAGTAGCTCAACTTTTCTCCAATATGGTGGTGCGTCTTCATGGCTTCCCACGCTCACTGGTTTCGGATCGTGATTCCATTTTCCTCAGCCAGTTTTGGAAGCAACTGTTCAAGTTAAGTGGAACAAAGCTCAGTGCTACTTCAGCTTATCACCCACAATCTGATGGGCAATCAGAGGTCACCAACCGGTACTTAGAGCAATATCTGAGAGCTTTCTGTTCAGAGGAGAATCAACGTTGGTCACTCTTGTTGTGTTGGGCTGAGCTTCACTACA